AAAATTATTAAAGAAATAAACCAATAAAAAGAACATGAAAAGAAAACTCACCTAAAAAAAAGGGAAGGATTTTTTTTTACTGGAAAATTAGAAGAAAAATCCAAACGCTATTCCTAAAAAAAAGGAGGCTTTATTTAAAAAAAAAATATAAGAAAGAATATACCTGTAACAAAAGCATAATTATTAAAGAAAAATAAATATAACATACTCTTACAATTAGTAGTCGAAATACATTTTGGGTTTAAAATAAAAAAAAAAACAAAAACAGAAGAGGGTTACAGTAAATTTAAAAAATTTTTTTTTAATGAAACAAAAAAAAACACTATAATTTTAATAAAAATATTGTTTAAAGAAACAAAATTATTTGACATCATAATATATTATAATACAATAATAAAAAAAAGAGCTATTAAATTCTTTCCAAATTAAACGAAAAAATTAAAAATTAATCAAAAAAAGTAATACAAAAATATTAAAATATTAATGCAAAAAAAAAAAAAAATTAAAATAAGACAAGTCGAAACATTGACTCAGCGAAAACACGTGTAATATGACACGCGCACTCGCTAGCCAGAACAGAAAGAAAATTTTTATTCAATTCGAAAATTAAAAAAAAAAAAAATAATAAATAAATAAAAAAAAGAATAAATACCTAGATAAAACAAAAGGGAAGTAAAAATACTTAAAAATATATAACATACCGAAAGGATCCAAGTTTTTTCTTCATATCCTTCAATAAATAAACAAAAACACAATAAAAAAAAAGAACACAGACACGCACATAATAAAAAAAAATTACACCAAAAAAAAAATCAAAATAAGAAAAGGATAAACAATAACAAAATTAAAAAAAACAATTAAAACACAAGCACAATTGAAGAGTGACACGCGCGCGGTAACGAAACTAATGAATGAATGTCAACCAAGAGCGCGGGACGAAACACGAGGGAACAACAATACACCGCGGAACCGTAAGATGTGGACACTCATACGTAAAAGGGGAACGCACCTTCAACAGTCAGAAACTGCTGACATCATATAAACAAAAAATGTGAAATGCAAATCAACTACAAGTTAGAAAAAATTTATAAAATATCATATATGTTTCTTGTTTGCTATAATATTAAGAAACTAAAACTTACTATCATTTAAAAAAAAAAGAGGGAGGTGTCTAAGAAAAAATTATATATAATAAATACAAAAAAAACAAGAAACTTTCTCAATTAATTTCGGTAAAATTCTTCTTTGTTTTAGCATATATATAAAAAAACGAAACAAACAAACAAAAAAATATTTAAAAAATATGTTTCTTTAATAGTTTCTGATACTTACTAAGAGAAGACGTTAACTCCAAGCACACCGCGAATTTCCTCCACCAGCAGAGTGTCAGGCACCACACAACGGGCAGGGTGTATGAAAGAAGCAGGGGCCCAGTACCCCCTAGTTTCATATTTTTTAAACTCCCACGACCAACGATACTCCTGGTGCCAACAAGAATCAGGCACGTCACAACGTACCTGTTGACTCATGGACACCTCTACTAGTGGCCAACGGAAAGATAGATCAGATCTAACAACAGCTTCCTCCCATTCGGAAACCATAATTTGTACACTATAAAAAAAAGAAGAAATAGAGAGTAAATTTAAAAAAAAAAAAAAAAAAAAACATATATAAGAATAATAAAACATTAAAAAAAATATATGATAATAGCAAATTGAGTAGGAAAATAAAAACAATAAAATAAACTTACCCGCGGCAACCTCCAAACACTTTATCTAACTGTAACTTTTCCAATTGGAACCGTTTCCAAACCAAAAAGGAAACAACAGAATCTACACCACTAATTGCCAGTTCCATGGCAAGCGCGTAAGAAGAATAATCCAAATTATGAAACATAGTTAAAAAATACATCTTATAAATAAAGCTTTTATACAAACGGAATTCCCAATCTTAATTTTGTATTATATAGACTGTCAAGGGGCGACAGCCCATAAAAAGGGGGGTATGAAATACCACATTTATAAATATTTTTTTTCTGGTATTTCACATAAAAATAAATTTTTATTGTATTTTTTTTCTCCCAATATTCTTTTTCCTTTTTAAATATTGAGACATCTAAAAAAAAAATTAAAAAAAAAATTTCAGTTAATAAATTAAATTTTTTAATTACATATACACATATATTCTTAATAATCAAATTTGTCTCATATATATACACATGAAAAGAAATTAAACATTTTTTTATTAATTTTTTAACACACTTAATTTTTTTCATATATTATTTTGCTTTTTTCAAAATCTTGGAACTCTCTACTTTTACTACGGTTCTAATTTGAGAACAGTAATTAATAGAGAATTCCAAAACTTAACCAATTTATTTACAGAAAAACTAAGATTGGAAAACATAATACCAAAAAAAGAAACATACAACACCAGCAACATCCGAGAAACAACACAAAACCAAAACAACAAAAACAATGTAATCAAGAGGAATTTATGTAACTTTTTCGAAACAACTATTATAATAGACTGTCAAGGGACGACAGCGCTAAGAAGGGGGGTATTTGTTACGTATGAATTTCGTAACTTCTTATTAATAAATTATTAACATTATTAATAATTCATTAATACAATACTTGAAAAAAGGACACAATATGCAACTCAAACAAATAACACTTTATAAACATTATAAGAAATGCCTTTAGAATCTCTTAGAGTTGTCCAAATAATTATATATTAAATATTAACTTTCAATTAATAACCTAAATTGTAAAGAAGACCTATTTAAAATTCATGATAAAATTGAGAAACTAAGTGAACTAAATTAATTCAAGAAACAAAGGATGGCGCAATAAAGATTGCTGCATCCAAAGTATGTCAGTACAAAATGAACTGGAATACTACCCCAATATTGCAAGGTTGCAATAAAGAACATTGACAACAATAAAATTACTAAATAAAACATACTTTTTCCCACCAAAAATCAGCTCAATAAAACCAGTAGACACAAGGAGTGTCAGTCAGTAATTGTTTGGGAGAGAAGAGTGAGCTCAGTGTGGAGCTTGGAGTTTTTTGAGAGTTTTGAGTTGGAGTTTGAGTCTCTGAGTTAAGAGACCTTTTAGAAACAAACCTCTAGTTGGAGGTTGTTTCCGTTTTAATTCGAGTTGTGATTTTTGAAGTGAGATTTTTTAAAGAGTATTAAAGTTTTGAGTATTTTAAAGAGTGAATAATTGTAGTTTTGAAAAAGAGAATTTAATTTTGAATTTGATTTAAAGGATATACGAATGAGTTTTTGAGAATCACTTAGTTTTGAAATTGAGAATGAAAATTAAATAGTAAATGAGAAATAAAGTTTATAGCATATACTGAGTTTTGAGATTGTTTTAATAATTGTTTGAAAAAAAGAGAATATAATATAACTAAAATAAATTAAAGAATTAATTTAATACTTAAATTGAGATACGTCGATTATTTTGAAGGATATAAATCCGAGGAAATTCCAGAGGTTAATATACTTAAGAGTCCAGGGACTCTTAGCATATTACACACACAACATTCTTACACATACATTCATTCACACGTAAAATTGTATACAGAATACTGTAATATTGTATTATTTGGGTTATTACACAATATATATATTTATATACAACTATTTAAATATTTGTTTATCCTTTTATTTCAAATATTCCTGACCAATTGTTCTGATTAATATGGGATCTCAACCAACTCACTGAATAATAGTGAGGTAAGGAAGGGATCCACTACCTATTACAATATAATTTGTCCGAAGGGCAACGTATGTTAAAGTACCAAGGTCTTTTAGAGTTTTAGAAAATATCAATCTTTGATTGATATTGAATAATTTTCTAATTTTCAAAATTCATCTTTAACAAACATTTAAATCAACTGAATTTTTTTTTTTAATTTTATTGACTTGATGTAAAAAAAAAATTGTCTTTTGTGTGATAAGTCTCGTTTATGTATAAAAATGGAAGCTTTATTGATTGAAATAGATTCTTTTTATCAATATATTTGTCGGACCGAGACAAATTATAAGAAATTAGGAAAAGCTAATTCTAATTTAGCCGTGGCTAAGGGTCGCTTACAATTGTTAAATGAACGATGGACTCTGACACAAGCAATCGATTTAAAATTGTAAACTACGGTCAGCTCCACTGATAAATTGAGTCACGAATATTTTGTAAAATCTCATTTTTTAAAAATAGAGGAAGCGTATTTAAAAGCGTATGATTTTTTAATTAATGAAATTGACAAATTTACACTTAGTCAAGCGTCGCCTTCTGCGATGTTAAATGAAACTTTAGTTTTTCACGAATCGATGCAAATAAAATTACCTCAAATCTCTTTACCGGTGTTCTCAGGCAAATTTTCTGACTGGGAAAATTTTCGCGATTTATTTGACGCTATGATTATTAAAAATGAAAGAATATCGAATATTACTCGTTTGCATTATTTGAAAACTTCACTAAAGGGCGAAGCAGTTCAATTATTAAAGCATGTAGCGGTTACTGATTCGAATTTTAATATTGCCTGGGAAATCTTATGATAATAAGCGTGCCATTATTACTTCGCATTTTTCTTCGTTTATAAATTTCCCAAAGTCAGTCACAATTCACCCGAGGAATTGAAAAGATTAATTGATACCACAAATGAAGCTCTTCTAGGTATTAAAAATTTAGATCGTCCTGTAGACGAGTTAAGCGACAAAGAGCCATGCTGCTTCTACCAGTAGTAAGTGCGTTTTTTGTAAAGAAAATCATCCCTTATATCGCTGTAATCAATTTAAGGAACTTCCGGTAGAGAAAAGAAAAGAGATTGTTATTTGAAATTGGTGTTTGAAATTGTTTGAAATTCCGGGTCACAAACCGAATTCCTGCCATCACAAAGTGCGATGTAATTATTGTAAGGGTAAACATAGTACTCTTTTACATATTAATTTTACAAATGATTCGATTGAAAGTTTAAATGAAAAAACAATGGTCAACTCTCAATCAGCTGTTACTAATCAGCAAACTTCATGTGCTAAGAAAAATGAAATTTCTGATTCGGTTAATATTAATCACGTTAAACTTAAAGATCCATGTGATTCTCCTCATTTTTTGAATATTCAATCGGGTTTGTTGACTCAGACACTCTTAGCGACTGCTCTGGTAAATGTTAAAAACGATAAGGGTAAAATACATAAATTTAGAATTTTACTAGATCAAGGGTCGGAAAGTTGTTTTGTCTCAGAAAGAGCCGTTAAAATTTTGAATCCTCGATATGCTCGAGTTAATACTCTCGTTTTTGGAGTGGGAGCTATGAATATTGGCGAAGCTAAAAAATTAGCACATTTTGAAATTATTTCAAGGGAACAGGATTGTCCTAACTTATTAATTAAAGCCTTAGTTTTGATAAACTTAACCTCCTACAGTCCACCCACAAGTATGGGTTTAAAAAACAATTTAGAGCAAACTAATTTATTATTAGCAGACCCCGATCCTTTTAGTGATTCTCGAATTGATTTTATAATTGGAGCCGATAAATTCGGCGAATGTTTGTTACCTGGTTTGGAACAAAATTTATTTGGTTCTTTAACTGCGCAGGCGTTAATTTTTGGTTGGATTCATTCTGGTCCAGTTCCATGTGATTCTGAAGTAAAACCCTCCTTATCTAATCATTTAAGTGTCTCGACTGACACTTTACACGAGAATTTAATTCGTTTTTGTCAGTTAGAAGAAAGTCCAGTCAAATCGTCCTTGACTGAAGATGAGATTCGTTGTGAAGAGTATTTTCTCTCAACTTTTTCTCGATTGAATTATGGTCGTTATATGGTTCGATTACCATTTAAGTTTGTTTTTCCAATAGATATTGGTAATTCGCTGGAGAGAACTAAAATTATTCTTTCTAAAGTCATGCAACGTCTTTCTAAAAATCCTATTCTATCGAAACAATATCTGGAATTTATGTCTGAATATATCGAAACGGGACACATGCAAATTGTGAGCGAAGAAGAATTGAAAGACGTCTCTCAAACCGTGTATATACCCCACCACCCCGTATTAAGGAAAAGTAGTACTTCTACTAAATTGCGGGTAGTTTGTAACGCCTCAAGTTTGTCCTTAAATGGAACGTCATTAAATTCACATCTTCTCGTTGGTCCTAAAATTCTAAACGATTTAATTTCGATTATTATGCGTTAGCGCGAATATCGCCTTGTTTACGTGGCCCATGCAGAAAAGATGTTTCGACGGATTTTAATTGATCCCAGAGATTGGGATTATCAACGCATTCTTTGGTACTCGGATGGTAAAATTGTTCCATTTCAATTATTGACGGTAACCTATGGCACAACATGTGCTCCATTTTTAGCGAATCGAGTTGTGAAACAATTAGCCAGGGATGAGGGTGATAATTTTCCTTTAGCTAGATCGATTGTTGAAAATGATATTTACGTCGATGATGCTTTATTTGGTGCTGACGAGGAGGAAGAGGCAAAGGAAACTCAAAAACAAGTTGTCGATTTAATGAAATGTGGCGGTTTTCATTTACGTAAATGGGCATCCAATCAAGTTTCTTTATTGGAAAATTGTCCTGAAGGAAAGAAAGAAAGAGCCATAGAAATTCCTTTTGATAAGGATTTACAACTTAAAGTTCTTGGTTTAAATTGGGATCCGGTTTCTGATGTTTTCCAATTTAAGGTATCTTGTGAGGAAATTCTTAATCCTACGAAAAGAAAAGTTTTGTCCCTCATAGCAAAACTTTATGACCCCTTTGGTTGGTTGGCTCCGGTGATTGTTGTGGCGAAAATGCTTATTCAGGAGTTGTCGCTGCGTAAGCTCGACTGGGATCACAAGCTTAGGGGGTTGTGTTTATTTGTGTCTTGAGGATGACCTTGGAATGGAGAGAATTACTCTTCTTTTTTCCAAATCAAAAGTTGCTCCTCTAAATCCTGTTAGTATCCCGCGATTAGAACTGTGTGGAGCCGTCCTGCTCGCAAAAATTCTTAGTTTCTTGATGGCTCTAAAAAATTTGGAAAACTTACCTGTTTTTTGCCATACGGATTCGACAGTGGTATTGGCATGGTTGAGTAAACATCCATCTACTTGGCGCACTTTTGTTGCGAATCGTGTAGCTCAAATACACGAATTACTTCCGGATGCTAAATGACAATACGTTCCTTCGAGGGATAATCCTGCGGATAGTATTTTACGCGGAATTTCTCCTTCTAAAATTTTGAATCATTCTCTTTGGTGGAAGGGCCCTCCGTGGCTTCTTCATAAATCTAACAAAAGTCCACAAGAATGTCCCTTGACTCCATCAGAAGTTAATTTGGAACAAAAACCAATTAATATTCATGTTTCGAATCGCGATGATTTTCTTTCGGAACTACCTAAAAATTTTCCTCATGGCCCAAGTTATTGAGAGTAACTGCTTATTGTAAGCGTTTTCTTTCTAATTTTATTACGAAATTTTCGAAAAACAAAACTGAAACTCTAACTAAATCAGGGCCTCTTGATCTTGAGGAAATAAATCAATCCAGAGAATTTTGGATAAAGTGGCTTCAGGTTGAATTCTTTTCTACCGAAATTAAAAATCTCAAGGATTCAGAGTCGGTGAATTTAAAATCAACCATAAAAAATTTGAATCCCTTTTTGGATTCCAAGGGAATTTTGAGAATAAGTGGGCGTTTAAAAAATGCTCCTATTAGTTTCGATGAAAAACACCCGATAATTTTACCTCGTCACCAAATTAGTTATCTGCTTGCTTCTCATGCTCATCTCAGATCTTTACATAGAGGTTTACAATTAACCTTACACGTTCTAAGACAGAATTTTTGGACTCCCTCTCGACCATTTACACACACTGGCATCGATTACACAGCCACACAAAAAAAAGTACCCGGGCCGGGGAATGAGACCGCCATTTCTTGATGTATTTTGATGCGCTGAACACGAATCTGAAGTCCGTATAGCTCCATCACGTCAGGATTTTGACATAACCTCAAAAAACATTGCTGATTTTAAATGACAGGAGAAATTTTTTAAATAATGGCAGATTTGCTGAATCTTGTTACTCGGGGGTGTTTGGGGTCGCTGATTACGAACTTAACGTCAGATTAGTAAATTTCAAAATGGCGGATCCAATATGGCGGACGAGTTTTTAAAAAATAGTTGAATTTTTATGTAACTTGGCCGATACTGGGGTTCCGAGTCCCTGCATCGAAATACGTTTCCTACGTGTGTCTGCCATGACGGCATCAAAGCCATTATCCAGGGACTTAGCCGGATAGCGGACAAACTCCGTTGCCCACCGTCACCGCGTGGAGGTGCCCTGGATGCAGACACATGTAGAAACATAAAGATATTTGACCACCGTACTATATCTGCCATTTTACATTTGAATAATCTGACGTTAAATTCGTAATCAGCGACTACAAAAAACCCCATGATACCAATTTTTGTAAAAATCCAACTACTTTTTAAAAATTTGTCCACCATATTGGATCCGCCATTTTGAATTTGAATAATCTGACGATAAATTTGTAATCAGCGACTCCCAAAACCCCTAGATACCAATTTTCGTAAGAATTCAACTACTTTTTAAAAATTCGTCCGCCATATTGGATCCGCCATTTTGAATTTTATAAATCTGACGTTAAATTCGTAATCAGCGACCCCAAAAACCCCCGAGTAACAAGATTCAAGCAAAGCTGCCATTATTTAAAAAATTTCTCCTGTTATTTAAAATCAGCTATGTTTTTTGAGGTTATGTCAAAATCCTGACGTGATGGAGCTAAACGGACTTCAGATTCGTGTTCAGCGCATCAAAATACATCAAGAAATGGTGTTCTCATTCCCCGGCCCGGGTACTTTTTTTTTGTGTGGCTGTGTTATGTTGGTCCCTTTGATATTCGTTACGGATCGGGAAGGGGAATCAAGAGTCAGAAAACCTACATAGTTCTCTTTATTTGTTGTTCTGCCCGTTCAGTTCATATTGAACTCGTTTCTGATTATTCGACCGATGCATTTTTAGCAGCTTTCCATCGTTTTGTGTCACGTAGGGGAAAGCCTGCTCATTTGTACAGTGACAATGCTAAGAACTTTGTTGGGACAGATAACGTCCTGAAAAAATCTTTAATTAAAATTCGAAAAGATAATGATTTTTGCGAGAGGCTCAACAGTGAAGGGATTTCTTGGCATTTTGTCCCCCACTTTGGTGGACTGTGGGAGGCGGGAGTTAAAAGCGTTAAGCACCATTTAAATCGTATAGTTGGTTCACACAAACTAACCTACGAAGAATTTTATACTCTACTAACGAGAATTGAGGCTTCGCTAAATTCTAGACCGCTTGCTCCATTGAATGATAACATTGAAGACTTTTCATATTTAACTCCGGGACATTTTTTTATTGGAGCTCCTCTTCTGAGTGTACCAGAGTGTTCGCAGGAGTTTGTACCCGACAATCGATTAAAACGCTGGCAATTAGTTCAGAAAATGTCAAAAAAGTTTTGGAGAAAATGGTCATCTGATTATTTGCATTCATTACAAAAAAGAAACAAATGGTTTAATAAAATGCGAAATTTAAATGTAGGAGACATGGTTTTAATTCGAAATGACAATTTACCGTCTTTTAAATGGGCCCTCGGTCGCATTATTAAATGCTACCCAGGAAAGGACAATCTTATTCGTTCAGTCAGAGTCAAAACAGCTGATTCAGAGTTTGATCGTCCCATTGTGAAACTTTGTCTTTTACCAATCCGGTCGAATGATGTGAGTGACAACGAGAATTAATTTGGAATGTTTAACTTAAATTTAATTTTTTTTGTGATGTTATGGCGGGCAGCTAAATCATAAAAATTTATTTAAATTATTTGTTTTAATTTTGTTTCGTGTTTCGATTTACACGAGGCCGGCGGTATGTTTAAATTGTACGTTGAATGAAAGATATTGCGACGCCTATTAGTAGGCTTTAATCTGATCATGTGTGCAAGAATGTATAATCTACTCCCTCTCCTCATTTCCCCGAATTATGTTCCAATTCCTGGAATGCGAATTAAGTGGTAGCAAGTGTGCGAGGAAGACCGGTAGAGTCGTCGAGTTAATACGCGATTCTTTTTCTCTAAATTATTATAAACTGTTAAAATCAATTTTCCGCGAGATTTAGCCTCCCTACAATCAACGTTTATTTTATAACAATAAACATTTAAATTGTTATTAATTTCAAAAAAGGGGTTTTACTCATTGGCTTCACCCGAACTGACAATCCTTCCTTTTGAGTGAACTTTATTTTAATTATTAAATAACCTAGAAATTAAACAAGCACAATCAAGTCAAGAAAATTATGAAAATGCTTCCTTGTTATGGTCTACAATTGGCATAAACAAATTTGAAGGCTCTGTGGCAACTGATCTAAAGCTTGCAAATATTTTGATTGGCATTATGGGACACAGCAGTATTCATCCTTGCACATGGTGTATAGCAGAAAAAAGCAATCTTCATGAGAGAGCTGAGTTGAGGACAATTGGTAACATCTCAGACAGTTTCGCTGCATGGCAAGCTGCAGAAAGTAAACAAAAAGATGCTAAACAGTACAATAATTGCATACATCTACCAGTGTTCGCAGGTGATTCTAATAAACTTATTTTGGATATAATTCCGCCACCGGAGCTTCATTTGTTACTGGGAGTGGTAAACACAATTTTCAATCACATGCTTCAGGATTTTAATCAAGAAACTTTAGATTGGGCAAAATCGTGCCTCGTAGAACGTGATGTAACTCATGGGGGTTCAAGTTTCAATATAAATTCGTGCAAAAAGTTGTTCGAAAAAATTTACGTCTTACGCTCAAAATGTCCAATCGCTTGTTTGAAGTATGTCAAAGCTTTAGAAGATTTCCATTTAGTTGTAAAAGCCTGTTTTTCGCAAACTCTTCAACCAAATTTTAAAGAGTGCATTGCTAATTTTAGAAAAAGTTACTCCGATTTAGAAATTTCAATAACACCCAAGGTTCACGCAGTGTTTTTTCACGTCGAAGATTTTTGTGTCAAAAAAAACAGGCATTAGGTTTCTTTAGCGAGCAAGCAATGGAATCTGTTCATTTTGATTTTAATTCTGTTTGGAGTAAATACATGGTGCATGTTCAAAATCCACTGTACATGAATCGTTTGTTAAACGCCGTTTGTGAATTTAATGGGCTGCAT